CCCCTTTTTTGTTTTTTTTTGTTTTTTTTTTTTTTTTTTTTCTCAGTCCTTTTTCTCATTTCTGAGTAGAAAATAGGGCTTCAAAATTGCAGGATGAGCACTTGGTGAAAAGACTATGTTTTTGATTCCTATAAATATCACTGTCCAAAAATATATCCCTAGTCTTATTTCTCCAAATACACCTTCATATTTATCAATAAATATTTTATTGTAGCCATTATCAAATCATCAAAGGCTGCTGAAATGTTGTACTTCAACTGACACTGCCTGTTCCAGGCTCACACAATGCATCAAAAGTTCGTCTTCCACAGTAGTCAAAATAGAATTAATATTTAAGTTGCGATGGGAGAAGCCACTGGGGATATTGTGGAAAGGAAATGAGTTTGTGAATATTGAGGTGGCAAAACAAGCACAGAGCAGGGAGAGCAGGCAGTGTAATCCCCACCACATTCTGCTGAACACCAGACCCGCTGGACATCGAAAGCAAAGGTCAAGCAAGATTCCTCTGACCCCCTGGGACAGCCCGCCACTGGGTATCTCTGAACTGCCACTGTTATCATTTCTCCTAAGTCAGATATGACTTTATCTGCCAATGTAGGGCTGCTCTCTCAGGCAGACGGCAGATCTCGTCCCATGCTGGCTGTTGCAGCGACCTGCCTTCTACATCTGTACAGGTTCAGCATCAAATCCCAACCATGCACAGAGCCACCGTGAAGTTAAAAACCAGCATGGGCTGATGAGTATGTAAAGCCCTCCAATTTCAACCCTTCTAGGCACAAGCTAAATGAATACAACACTTCACAATTGATTTATTTACAGTTAATGACATCCTCAGCCACTCTTGAGCTTGGCACAGTTCAAAGTACTAAGCACTTCCATGTTATTGTCCCAGGTTTTATTTCCCCACGTATTTTCGACAGCGGGCAGTGACTCAGCCACATGAATCATTTATGGCATTGTGAGTCACACTAGGTAGCACACGAAGGATCTGGATAACCATTACAAGGTTTATTTGAGAGCAAGAAATGCACCATATACTGCATAGTCATTAGTATTTAAAGGATTTTTTTTAAAAAAAAAAAAAGCCATTTTAAAATGTTAATGCAACATCTTGCTGGCAAACCAGACTTCCTCTCCCGCATGGGTTTGAAAATCAAACCTGCACTTTCTCCTCAGCCTACTTCAGTCAGACACGTTGTGTGCATACAGGATCATAATCAAAACCACAGAGAAAACTTTCGCCAGGAGGCTCGTACCTCTCCTCCTGTAATTACACCTCTATTAAAAAGGCCCTTTGTTCAGGTTTCAGTCTCAGCCACAGCCCCAGCTGGTATAAATTAGCACATCTCCATCAACAGGCACAGCACGACAGAGCAGAGCCTTCACCAGCGCCAGGCGACCGGGAGGGACTGGCAACGCTGGGGGGCTCAGCAGCTGTGGCTACCAGCCAGGCTGTGGGGGCTCCCCCAGGAGGAGTGCAAAGCCCAAATCCAGGTGATCCTGGGCTGCGGCCACCGCAGGTGCCAGAGTTCCTCCCGGCAGGGCTGGGATGGACAGACAGATGGACTGCTGCTTTACGCAGAAAACGTGTGTTTCACATCCCCATAGCAAATGCTCAGCTCCCCTTTGCGGCTGCTGACCCAGGGCCACCGCCATGTTCTACAAGCACTAATTAAACCACAGGAGGCAGCTAATGCCTGCTCACAATCAGGGAGATGTGGGGAGTGCTCTGCCTCCAGCAACACACGTCCCCATCCCCATCTCCCCGCAGGGCCGAGCACTTTAACGTGTTCTCCTCTCTCAGCTCGCAGGGATAGTCCACACCTGCTGGAGGACAGAGGAGTGTGCTGATGGAAGGGACTCATTTTGGAGAAAACAAAAGAAATACCTGGGAAACAACTTTTAAAGGATGCCACTAAAACTGCAGCTTGTCATCCTAGAGGAGGGGATGCTTTTTTTACAGTAATTGGAACCTCAGAAAGAAGAACAAGCACCACAGTCTCCCCTGCCCCAGCCGATCAGAGGCAGTGACCGTGGCAGCGAGGGCAGCATCGCTGCGGCCACCAGAGCCCTCGAGGGGCAGGTCCTGGCTCCCCGCGTGCCGGTGCTCTCACCTCGCAGCTCTCCCAGGTCCAGGGTCTTCCCCAGCTGCTCCAGGAGGTCGGCCCTGGCCGCGTTCTTCTTGTGCTTTTTGCCGTCGTAGTGCTGCTGTGCCATCATGGGGTTGTTGAACCAGGCTGCGCAGAGCTGGCAGTACCGGTCCGAGTCTCTCCGCTGGTGCGGCGACGGTGCCACCGGGGCACTGTCTGTGTGCGGCTGCTTTAGGGAGCTCAGAGCGGTCTCTGTGGAAGGAAACATTCAGACATGAGCTTTTCCAGGCTACTGTTGCTGTCTGAGTAACAACAGGCCCTGAGGCAGATCCCACATTAGACACGGGGAATAATTAGCAGCAGTTACAGGGTCCCACTGGATATTTTGGATGGTACTGCTCGGAAATCTGCCATTTCTCATAAAAAAAAGCAGCATGAGAGGATAGCACAGGATTGTTCCTCAACTATCTGCATTTCACTAGCTGGGAAAGGAGGGTGCTCTCAGTGCAGTTAAGCATCCTATTGCTGTTGTGACTAAACCTGCTAAACTTATCCTGCTTAAATTGCTACTTCCAGGAAAAATTGCCAGTGGAGAATAAACAAAACATGCAAAGCCATCTACTTCTCAAGACAGAGAGACAGATTTATCATTATGTCAGGATTCTTATTCTTCAGTTTATTTGGTCTCAGAAAGAACAGTGGAAGCTGTAGTAACTGTAAATTGCCACAGATAAAATACTCAATAGTCAGTCTCCTCATTCAGATATCTTCACATTGTGAATTGACAGGTACCAACGACCCACAATGTTAATTTAATTCAATTTCCCTTCAGATTCACCAAGAGGCCATCTGGGAATGCAAACACAATCCCCAAATAATTTCCAAAGAAAAATGGGTGATTAGTCTTTACATAATGGAGCTGCGCCTTGTTTGTCACAGTTTTCCTACTTTGCAATGTGTAAGTCACAAAGCCATGGAAAATCTGTTTAAAGTAAAATAGAGTTCAGATAACATTGAGATACAAAAATATACAATGACTAGTACTTAATTATCACACCTTGTTCAAAAATTCCCTTTCATGTGGTTTTCCTTTTCTTTTCTTTTCCAGATGAAAAGTCTGCTATCTAAATAATTAACAAACCACTCTCTCCGTGATACAAGAATAGGCAAATTTTAAGGTGGTGAGGAGGAGCTCGATGGCTGTCCTTTGATCAAGCGGCTCCGTGCTATTCCAGCTGAGCCCTGATGAGAGCACGGCTTGGCAAGCGACAAACCCACCTCGGTGTCTGATACTAGGCATGGCAGCAGTGAGCAAAACAAGCATGGATGTAGAGGTGTAATTAGGACTGAAGCCCACTGTGATTGACTCCGCGGCTCAAGGAAGTTCATACTGTTACAAATCTTCTGCTGACCTGCTCGGGAAGGGACGTCTATTAACTTTCCTCAAGGAAATTGTATCTTACATATAACATTACTTACAACCTTATCAATTTCCAGGGGTTTATAAACTTCTATTGTTTTTGATGACAACTGCCAAGGTATCAGAGTTTCACGGCCGGGGCGGCTGGTTCAGGCACCATCCCCCTCCTCGCCTGGCCAGCTCTGGAGAGAGACCTGGGCAAGAGTTTCCTTACACCCGCTGCTGCCACCAGCGCCCGGCACAGCACGAGCAGAACGAGCTCCTTCGGGGTTTGGCTAATAAAGAGATTACACAACTGGCTCCCACGGAAGATATTTCTTCTCCTCGTTCTGCCGTCTCGCGAGCCGCCCGCCCGCTCATTTGGATTCATTTCACCCCACCAGAGGATTCCGCTGCCTAATCTCTGCCCGCCCTCCGTTTAACTAGCCTAGTTAGAAACCAAGCACAACGCCAACAAAGAAAACCTTTGCCTTTGCCTTGGGACCCCGTGCCCCTTGCTGGGGCTGGGGCTGCATTTGGACACGTCCCAGCTCTGCCGAGGTCGGCACCAGCCGCTGCCTCCTGAAAAACGGCTCCTGCCAGAGCTGGCGGGCAGCAGGCAGGGCTCACGAAAAGCCCAGCTGGATTTTACTTCTAAAAACAACATATTTCCTCACACCTACGATTCCAGCAGGACAGACCCAGCCCCAGCCACTCCGAGGTGCCTGCAACAAACAAAAATGCAAGTGCATCAGAGAGCAGAGCCAGGGGCCAGTGCACGGTGATAGAGTAGAAAATTAGGAAATAGCATCGTGGCCTCTCCAAAGTAAAGCTCTGCAGGTTCTGCATGTGCTCGACTCCTGCAACGCAAGCGTAGCTGGCCTATTGCTCACGTGGTTTTGCGACCACCCGCAGGCACTCTCCAAAGGAGCTTCCTTGGGAAGGAGTCAGCACCAAGAGCTGACGTGTGCAGGATTGTGCCCCGCCCTGGGATGCTCCCCCAGACAGGGCTGGGCAGCACTGGGGCACCAGCAACGCACCAGGACTCTGCTGCAGAGACATTTGGGCATCTGGACCATTATAAACAACCAGTTATTATGGCAGTCCAGGAGCTCTGTGATAGATTTGACTTGCTGCTCTGCAAGCCCCAGGCTATAAAGTGAAATCTATCAGATCTTTTGGTCATCTCTCTCCTTGTTTATATGTTAGCTGCTGCCAGAGGGGAACCAGGGAGGCTGAAGTTCACAGAGCTGGTGGTGTCTGCAGGAGTTATATCTCCTGCTCACTAAAGAAAAACGACTGAAGCATCCTCTGCTGCTCAGCCAGCAGCCAGCCCAGCAGCCCTAAGCCTGTCTCGATGAGGTTGGTGGCTCACGCTCACCCAAATGTAGGGCAGGAGGCAGCTGCTGGTGGGACTGGCACTCCTGCTTTGGGGGATTGCATCAGATCCCCTCCATAACCAGCCCAGCCCTGCTCCGAGCCTACTACCATGCCTGGCTGCCCCCAGCTCCCCCACAGCAGACACCCCCTGCCCGCATGGCATGGGCGCTCCCGCCTGGCAGGGATTTCCTCTCAGCACTCCCAATACAAAATGTTTTCCTGTAAAGCCACATTCCACAGGTTCCATTCACAACAGCCACCAGTCTAGGGAGTGCTGAACCCAGCCTGGCAATTAATGAAAACATCCTGTGTCTTCCAAATCCTCCTGAAGAGAAACAAATGAAAGTTGACTTCTCCACCAATGTGGATTTATCATTTTGATATGTGCTACATAACTACTATAGAACAGAAAGTATCATCATTCCCTGAGCAGTGACACGAAAATTAATAATAAACACTCACAAAACGTCAAACGTTAAAAATGTTTCTCCATCTAAAACACAAACATGAAAGCTGCTAGTTTGACTATTTCAAGTATTTCAAAATGCTAAATAGCTCATGACAGTCTGCCTTACATTCCCTTTTGCTGTGGGAGGGAAGTGAGAAAGTCTTACTTAGCTGCAAGAAGCAAAATACAAAGTTAGAAACACTTTAGCACTCTGGCAATGAACTAATGTTTGACTTATTTCTTGCATGCAAAGCTTTTTATTCATAGATGTATTTAAATGGCATACAGCTTTTTATTATTGCCCCTCTCCAGGAACTCAGCATGAGCATAAGAAAGTAACTAAGTCATGACACTGGGGCACCGGAGAAATTCAGTTTTCTTGAGAAGAAAAATCTGGGACTAATGCAGACTCCAGCTGCTGCTGGATGGATCCTCACTTCCAAACCCAAAAGCCATTTACTCTGTCCCCTTTAGCACGCCTGAAATGCAAACATCACAGGAGGAACTAAAGAATGGGGAAGGAAAAAAACAAGGTAGGTTTGTTCCTGCAGACAAATCACACCCTCATTCCTCAGCCCAAAGGAAGGGACCCAGTGCTGGCATCTCCCTTCTCAGCGTACCCCAGCCCCTCCTGAACCCACTGCCAACTTCCACCTTCCTGGAGTGACACCTGCAGATACCTGCACTTGGATCAGTCTAGGCAGCAGCTATTTCCCCCCACAATTTTCTGGTTGATAACTCATACTGATAAGAAGTCAGAAAAGACTAGAGAAATTCATCAGCAAGAGTGGTGACATAAAGCCTCCGAGGGCTACAACCTCATACAGCAGGAGCAACAGCAAAGATCAGAAATATTTCTCTGTGGTGATGAGACATCACTTTCCTATTGTGAAAAACTCAACTGTTAAGACATTGCTCCCTCTCCTGAAAGCACCAGCAGAGAAATGAGAGATCTGCATTTCATTATGATAAAACTGAGAGAGAAGGTGTAACTCTGTAAGAGGACTGGGAATAGATGTAATTTTCTAAGGGATTAGTGAGACAGAAACCCCAGAATATCAAGCAGTGGTCTGCTCAGGGCAGGACAGAGGGGCGAGGGGCTGCTCCCAGGGACTCCCGGCCACCGCAGGGGCTCCAGGTCCTGCAGCATCCTTGCAGCACAGCATGTCCAGAGCTGCTGCCTCCAGCAACCATCACCAGGAGCAAGAATTCCAGTAGCAGACATTTTTCAAGTTTTTCACCTTTGCTGGGAGTATGACACATTTCAATGTTTGGTGCTTTTTTTTTTTTTTTACTAGAAAATGCTGCTCTGCCAACAGCTCAAGAATTCCTCCCAAACTTCCCCCGCAGTTTCAGCTGCATTCATTAGTCTTCATTTTGTCCCCTAAGTTCACTTTGTTACTCTGCAACTTAAAGAGATGCTCTGTTTCCAGAGAAGTAACTGTACATCTGTGTGAGCTAAATGACTCCTGCAAAGACAGTCGTGCAAAGGATTTCACAAATTCCTTCCTCCCTTTACACACAGACCTGCAGTAACTAAGCAAATGATCAACAGAGAATTTCACAACTATTCAGGGTGGCAGAATAAGTTTTTGTGCAAGGTCTGATTTTTTCCAGTCAGACATTGAAAACTGAAGGCTATTACCTATTTTTCCTTGCCTATTGCCACTAAAATACCTTTTTGGAATAACCGTGTTTAATCTCAGCCGTAATAAGAGCTCTTGGGAACTTTTAAAACATTTTAAGCTTTTTTTTTTAATTAAAAGATTATCACAGTTCAAATATTTGTATAGAGTCTTTCTCTCTTTTTTTGATCACACACAAAAGTTAAAAAATACTCTACTTAGAGCTTAGGGAAACACCAAATAACACATTCAAACCATTTAACCATCTGAAGGATTACAACGGTTGTGATCAGAATACCAGCCTGATCTCTTTCAAAGATGCTAACCAATGACACTGCAAGCACAAGGTCCCAGGACTCATGAGCACCAGAGTCCTCTGAAGCTCTGTCCAAGAGACTAAAGGCTCTCTGGTGCCAGTTGTGAAGGACTGGGAC